AAAGAAAAAAATAATCCTGTGTCTAACGCATAGGGGAATAAGTCCCTAGCATAAGGTCCAAGTTGTATATGACGGGGCAGTGGTTGGGTCACCATCAAAAACAGCGAGTAAAGAATCAGGACAATGTTGACACAGGAGCCGTGAGCGATCCCTGATCCTCTAGCAAAAGATGACTTGGAAATCACTTGGGTCCATCTTGTCTTCTAACACGGCAAAAATCCAAGGCCGTCACAGTAGATCTGCCTGTTCTGTTCAGTCAACCCTGGTGGCTTTGGCCCATGGAACTCTTTAACTCAGCTGAACGATCAAGTAATTGGTTATGATGTTCTCTGCAGCCCGGTAGCACGTGTAAGGCCTCCCGAATCTGGCTGGAAGCGTAGAGATCTCAGCTGGGTATCGAGGCCAGGTGGAGGTGGCCGCAGGTAACTGTATCCGCTCTGGGCACAGCATCTCCACTTACATTTGGAAAGGTGAGTCTCTTCCTGGCTCCATCCTAGAGTAAGAGGCCCAGATCGAAGGCTGTGTGACTTTCCAGTTTCTAAGTAAACTCAGGCGGCCCGACAGCTTGCTCACATGAAACCTTCCTGCACAAAGTCCCCAGGCTTCCTGGATGCACTGAGACATACATCGCTAAAGAGCTTCAGATTGCAGGACAGACCGCCCGGGATGGGACTGGGAGACTGCCGGCCCTGGCTGTGAATTATCCACGCCCCTGGTCTTCTCTATTTTTTTGCTCACTTGGCTCTTGGAGAGAAAAGAAGGTGACACCCGCTGTGCTCGAGTTTTCTCACTATTATCAGCTCCACCAGAGCCAGGGGGACAGGGCTGTGTTACCCAGAGAGAGACAGGATTCTCTGTAAAGGACAGATGTCAAATTGCTCGTGTGTTCCTGACCCACCCCCCACTTCCTTCCATGGCATCTGTACTGGGTTGAATTGTGTTTCCCCCCAAGTCCTAAACCCTGTGAGTGTGGTGTTATGTGGAAATAGGGTCTTGCAGAGGTAACCAAGTTAATATGAGGTCGTGCTAGACGAAGATGGAACTAACCCAATGACGTGTATGAAAAGGAAGAGATAAAGATCTCCCCACCATGTGAGGAGGCCGTAGGAGGCCATCTACAAGCCAGGAAGAAACGCTCACCAGCCAGCATCCTGATGGTGGGCTCCCAGCCTCCAGCACTGACAGAAATAAATTCCTTCTATGGTGACCAATCCTATGGGATCGGGACCTCACTCTCATGACCTCTCACCGCCTAACAACACTATCTCCAAACACAGCTACAATGGGGCTTAGAGCTTTAACACATGAATTTTGGAGGGACACGGTTCAGTCCACAGCAGTGATGATGATGGTGATGATGACAGTGATGGAGACGAAGATGGTGAAAACGTTGGTGATGGTGGTGATGTTGATGGTGGTCATGGTGGTGGTGATGGTGCTGGTGGTGGTGATGGTGGTGATGATGATGATGGTGGAGATGATGATGGTGGTGATGGTGATGGTGGTGGTGATGGTGATATCGTGATGGTGGTGGTGATGGTGGTGATGGTGGTGGTGGTGATGGTGGTGGTGGTAGTGATGGTTGTGGTGGTGATGGTGGTGGTGGTGGTGATGGTGCTGGTGGTGGTGATGGTGGTGATGATGATGATGGTGGAGATGATGATGGTGGTGATGGTGATGATGATGGTTGTGCTGATGGTGGTAGTGATGGTGATGGTGGTGGTGGTGATGGTGATGTGTGATGGTGGGAGGTTGGGCATGATAAAGTCAGAAGCACATACTGTCTACTCAATGCTTGCTATGTGAGAGGAACTGATCTTAGGAAATAGTTCCCAATGAGCAGGTCCAGCCCTCCTCACCCATCATCCTACACGGCAGGAACAATTCTCATTTCACAGGTGAACACAGTAAGGCACACAGGGGCAAAGACAACATACAACAGACAATGTGGCAGAACCAGGGGTCCAACGTATGGCAAGTGGTCCCCATGGCCACCACCCTTCACTCCTAACTGCTGGTCTGAGGTGCTCCCGCTGACAGAGGCCCTTGGTAATGCAAATACATTTAAGCTGGAAGTCAGAAGATACTAACAACTAGCAATTGTGCGAAAGGGGGCAAATCGTCTCACCTCTCAGAGCCTCAGATTTCTCATCTGTGAAATGAAGAGGTATGGCTAGATGAATTCTAAAAGTGTGTGTGTTGATGGCAAACAGACTGCATCAAGGAACCTTAGCGATTATCTTACTAAGTGAAGTCAGCCAGACAGAGAGACACAAATATGATGTGATACTAACTACTTGTGGACTCTAAAAAAAAAAATGATACAAACGAAATTATTTACAAAACAGAAACAGACGCACTCACAGGCATAAAAAACAAACCTATGGCTACCAAAGGGGAAAGGCGGGGAAGATAAATTAGGAGTCTGGGATTACCAGATACAAACTACTGTCTATAAAACAGATAAACAACAAGGACCTACTGTACAGCACAGGGAACTATAATCAATATCCTGTAATAGCCTATAATGAAAAAGAACATGAAAAAACCATACATATAACGGAAACACTTTGTTGTACACCAAAAACTAAGACAACATTGTAAATCAACTAGATTTCAATTTAAGAAGAAAAAGGTTGCTTGGATTGAACATAACATGAGACTAAGTTTGTTTTTTTTTTTTTTAAATGTACTAGTACCATTGGTGGTCACTGAGGCCACAGGTAATGATTTTCAAAATGCTAAATAAAGTGAAAAAAAAAAAAAAGGATGTAATATCCACAGGTCTCCCCACTTTTGTGTCTGTTTCAGAATGTTAAGTCGTGATTTTGCAAGATGGAGTTCCATGTCGTTGCTAGCAAGATCCCAGAAACCAAAACCTAAAGGAGCACTGAAGCGTCTCCATCCATGTCATCTTAAATGCACAGGACACGGTCACGGATGGGAACCTCGCGGGCCAAACCTGTCACCCAGGGAAGTCGTGAAACATTTTATTTCTGCTTTGTTTAATGGAGGCTTCCAAATAAAACAACTTTTTAAAAATATATATATATATATATTTTTATTGACGTGTAATCAGTTTACAATGTTGTCTCACTTTTGGGTGTGCAGTCTAATTCTTCAGTCATATAGGAACATACATTGATTCATCTCCATTTTCTTTTTCACCGTAAGTTATGACAAGATAACTGAATATGGCTCCCGGTGCTCTACAGTATACACTTGTGCGTCTATTTTATGTTTATTAGTTAGCAATCTGCAAACTGGGAGGTTCTAAAATGACCTCAAAAAAACTAAAAGGACAGGGTATACCTATGGGGGGAGCATCGATCTTATAAACCCGACTTTTAAAAAGGAATACAGGAAATCAAGTACGTGACACTTTGAAAAACTGTAAATCACTAAAGAATTTTAAGAATCTTTCATTCCATAAAAAAGAATTCTTATTTTACCATATACATAAATGGTCTCCACTCCTCTATGTAAAAAAGCATCCCATTTTATTCTCAGCAATGTAATAGATGAAATTCTATGAGGGAAAGTCAGACTGAATTCAGCTGCATCACAAAGTGATCCATCCCGTCACGGAATGGGACTCCGGTGTATCTTCCTCATCGACCTCCCATGTGGGAGCCACTAGCCACACATGGCATCTGAGCACTTCAAACGTACAGAGGAACTGAAATTCTAATCTGATTTTAACTCATCGGAACTTCAATGTAACAGCCTATTGGGTGCAGTGACTGAAAAACTTTATTTCTGAAGAGCTTGGTCACGTGAATCTACGCCTCCCCCAACTATAAATGTTACAGATGCTAAATAAAGCATTTCCCGTATTTCTGATGGATGAAAATCCTGCACCCAAATTGAGACCGCATCGTAAGGCTAAAAAGGCACGTGGAATTTCAAATACACAGCAGCCAAAATTCAAGGGAAGTCCCTTGGGGTTGATACTGATTATATATCGATATGACCATGTTTGTAATATATTGAATTAAATCGACTACATGAATAAAATAATCGTTTTTAAAGGAGGGCGACTGAAACACTTCAAATAACGCAGGAGGTCTGGCTCAGATTTATACTGCACGGGGCTGCTCTAGCTCAAATTGTCCAGGGGAACAAAACGTGCATCTCTGACCTTTGACATGGAACACTGTACGAATTTTGGATGAACGCACGTTGCTCTCAGCGGCTGTGACGATATTAAAAAAAAGTAAGACTTGCGTGTATCGCCCACTCTGTCTGAGTGTCTCTATTTAATGCCTGTGTGTACCGGCTGATTGGGTGGACCGCTGGGGATACGGGAAGGAAAAAAAAGCTTACATTTTCATGAGGGATCAACAGCAACAACAAATACAAACCCCAGCGAAATCGCCCCGAAGCAAAACAAACCAAAATCCTAGAAAGCGAAGGTGTGATGTGAAGGAGGAGAAACGGCCAACACGGAACACGAGAAAGTGTATCTAAAGCCCTGCGGTCTTGCCCCTTTGTTTGGAATAAAAATGTAGGAGTGCATTCGAAAAGCAAACCTTTCTTGTAGTAACCGATAATGGAAAGGAGTATGAAAAGGAATATAAGCATGTACGCGTATGACTGAAACATGATGCTGTGCACCAGAAATGGATGCAACATTGTGAACTGACCAGGCTTCAATAAAAATTTTAAAAAATTTACTATTAAAAAAAATGGCACAAATGAACTTATTTACAAAACAGAAACAGACAGACAAACATAGAAAACAAACTTACGGTTACCAGGGGAGGAAGGGGGTGGGAATGGATGAATCAGGAGTTTGAGATTTGCAGTTACTAACTACTATATATGAAATGGATACACAAGTTTTTACTGCAGAGCACAGGGAACTATATTCAATATTTTGTAGTCAATTATCATGAAAAAGAACCTGAAAATGAATGTATATATGTATATGTATGACTGAAACACTATACTGTACGCCAGAAATTGACACATTGTAAACTGATCATACTTCAATTAAAAAAAAACCCAAAAAACAACCTTTAGACTCCAACACAAGCCCCCAGTGCTTCCTCTAAAGGGTTGGTCGTGGCTTAATCGCACTGGATTTAAAATATTAGCAGCTACTTTTTCATTCTGTACATGCTAGGCGGCATCGTTGCATCTGGGGAGAGTATGTGCTTTATAGACGGGGCTCTAAAGGAGGCATGAAAATACAACATGTACGGCTTTGCAAGGGCCTCAGCCTCACTTGTGCTGAATTCTGCACTCTTGTCCACTGCACATTACACAATTTTTCAGATTCCTTACAGAGACTGCTCCCCTGCTAAAGAGAACACTCAGAATCATCACTGGGGTGAATTAATCCAAAAGGTACCGTTATCCTGAACTATGAAAGATTTGATTTTATTTCACTGTGCTGAATGCGATCAACTGTCTGGTGCTAGCAAGGCTGGAAACGTTTGTCCTACTAATTCCACTCTTGTAAATCTACCTCACAGAATCCGTCTCAAACGTATGTTTACGGTTTTTAACCGTATCCTTTTGCTGTACGCCGGAAAGTAACATTGTAACTGACTACACGTCAATAAAAAGAACTAAAAATAAAATAAAATAATGTTTTTTAAAAAAGAAGTCTACCTGAAAAAAAAAAAAACCCACATATTTACGAAGAGTGTACGTACTGTGCCTTTACTGACACAGGACGCCAGTAGAACTAATCGCAGATTTGTTCCACAAGAGGACTATTTTGGTGTTTTGTTATTATAAGAAATAAAAAGAATTTTTTTAAGTACATAAAGATGACCTCAAAACGTTTAAAAGCATAATCCCTTCTTGCCAAAGGTGGTGGATTACATGAACTCAGCTCTGCCTTCTTCGAAAAGACAATGAAAAATAATGGGGAAAAAAAAATGTGCAACATGTGACCCACCAGGCTGGAGAAGGACCAGGAGCTGAGAGCCAGAGATTGGAAGCTGCCCAGGAGACGAGTCAGGAAAGCCGTCTGAAAAGACCTGAGAGTGAAAAATAGAAGGGAGTCTGGGTAGAGAAGGCTCCTTGACTCCATGGGCAGCGAAGGCTTCATAAGAAAGAATATCTCACTTGAGATACCACCTCACACCTATTGGCAAGGCTACCTTCAAAAAGACAAGTGACAAGGAAGGAGGAAAGGGAGCCCCTGTGCACTGTTGGTGGGAACATAATGGGTGCAGCCCCTGTGGGGAAAAGTGTGGAGGTGCCTCAAAAAACTAAAAATAGAACTACCATGTGACCCAGCAATCCCACTTCTGGGTATTTACCCAGGGGGAAAAAAAAACACTAATTAGAGAAGAAACATTCACCCCAGTGTTCATAGCAGCAGTATTTACGACAGCCAAGTCATGGGAAGCAATGTAAATGTCCTTTGACAGATGACTGGATAAAGAAGTTGTGGTATATGTATGTAGTGGAATACTACTCAGCCACGAAAAAGGACGAAATATTGCCATCGGCAGGAACACGGACATATGTAAAGATAAGCACATACTAAGAGAAAGACAAATACCATACATTCTCACTTATATGAATCTAAACAAAAATGAATTCACAGAAACAGACAACAGAAAGCTGGCTGCCAGAGGCAGGGGGTGGGGAGTTGGGGGGAAAGGTAGAGACATGGTCACTTACTTGTCCACCAGTTTCTTGGCGAAGCCGAAGTCAGTGAGTTTGATGTGACCGTCTCGATCCAGAAGGATGTTCTCCGGCTTCAAGTCCCTGTAGACGATTTCCTTGGAGTGCAGGTACTCGATGGCACAGACGATCTCCGCCGAGTAGAAGAGCCCGGTGGTGCTGGAGAATCGGCCCTGGTTCCGCAGGTAGCTGAAGAGCTCCCCCCCCGGCACGAACTCCATCAGCATGTACAGGAAGCGCTCGTCATGCCACGTCCAGAACCTGTGGGACCACAGTGGGACTGAAGGCTGTGCCCTGGACAGACGGAGGGGGACGGGTGGACACAGATGTCGAGACATGGTGTAGACAGAAGTTACCTGACATGTGCGGACATGGGGTGAGATGTGTGTCTGGATACTCCTGTGGATGGACCTATGTGAGCTACGTGTGTGGACAGACATGAAAGTTTGGTAGTGGTAGATGTTACGGTATGTGTAGTTACAGGTCAAGATAAACCTCTAGGTAATGTTAAGAGTCCCACAGAGATGGACAGAAGCTAAGATCTGCGTGTAGACAGATGTTAAAATTTGGTAGAGACATGTCATGGGTACAGGCAGAGGCTATCCTGTGTGTACAGGCACATGTTAAGAACATGAAGGTGCTCACATGGAGAGATGCTGAAATATGTGTATGGACAGACGCGAAGGTTCAGCAGAGACGGATGGAAGCAGTCCTGGCACAGGTGAAGATGGATGCATAGGCAGATGTTAAGATTCAGGTACAGACAGATGCTAAGACACAGGTATATATACTA